TCTGATGTTGTTCCTGGGATCTGTTGGAGCCACTCTCCCAGCTTAAGAGTCACAGCCCCAAGTGCTTCTAGCACCACTGGGACCACTTTGGCCTTTCCACAGCCTCTCTAGTTCTTCCTTCAGGCTCTGGTACTTCTCCTGCTTCTCATACTCCTTCTTCCTGATGTTGCTGTCACTTGGCACTGCTACATACATCACCACCACTGTCTTCTGGTCCTTGTCTACTTACCACAATGTCTGGTTGATTGGCCAGTACCTGCCTGTCCATCTGGATCTGGAAATCCCACAAGATGTTAGCCCTGTTATTCTCCACAACCTTCTGTGGAATCTCCCTTCTGAACTTGGGAGGGTCTAGCCCATACATTGTGCAGATGTTCCTGTACACAATGCCAGCTACTTGGTTGTACCATTCAGTGTATGCTATTCCTGCCTGCATCTTACACCCTGCCAGTGTGTATTAGACTGTCTCTGAGGCCTCTTTGTACAACCTGCACCTTGGGTCCTGTCTAGTGTGGTAGACCCCTGCTTCTATAGATCTGGTGCTTAGTGCCTGTTCTTGTGTTGCTATGACTCAGTGCCTTAGTGTTATATTTTAGTCCAGCCATTTACAGCCACTGGTAGGATTTCCTTATGTCAGCCACCTCAGCTATCTGTTGATGGTACATCCCATGCAGGGTCTTGTCTTGCCATGGCACTTCCTCCGCTTGAACATCCTCCCATGTCTGCTGGAGCCTCGGGCATTCTCTCAGCAGCTCATCTTTGGGTGCCATCTTAGTGCTCTGGGTTTCATCCAGGACAGTGACTTTGACACTCACCAGAAGGAAATATATATTCCCTTCTCACCCCTATGTGTGGTTTGTGTCTTCCTCAACCTCGGGTCCTCTACCAGAGGTCTGGCAGTTTGAGGCTTCTGCACAATATCTTAGCTATTCTTAGTATATTATTCCAATTTTTATTACTAAAACTGATTATTCATTTTCTAAAACCTGTGGAAATACAATCGGGGTTTGCACCACATCTGAAATTTATGGTTTTCTTAAAGTTGTAATGCTTAAGTCATGGATGATTTGTTAAAGAAGGATAGATTTCCTATTGAAAAGATTGTAATTCTTCACTTTATATTTCATACTGTGGTGATTACTGTCATTGATACTTGTACATTCACTTGATTTTAATAATAATCTTAGTTTTAAAATTATATAGGGCATTCAAATACATATAACAAAATCAAAAATTAATTTAAAAAAATCCTGCTGGAAGCAACAGTGTTGGAGTATTAATCTGAGTCTGGGAAAAAAAAAACTGTCCTTAGTAGTAGCACATAATCCCTCTCCCCATTATCTCTGAGTTGGGATGCATATTTTTCAAGCCACTCCTCTGTTCCAAGCATTTTATCTCAGCCTAGTAGAAAAAGTTTGAATTTAGGCATATTTCTTTGATTCATTCTGTCCTAAAATTAAGTTCAAAGCCAGGAGATGAGTTGGTTGCTAGAAGCTGCCCACTGAATTACTAAGCAGATGCCTGTGTTACAAGACTCTGTGTTTGACTATATAGTTCCACAAAGGCATATACATTGTTTGTCATCACTTGCTTCCTGTCATTCTGAATCCCTTGCTCTTTTTATAAATTGTGTTAGCAGTGACTAAACACGGAGTGGTCTTTTGGGACTGAGGACTCACTGATGAGAGGGTGGTAACTGCATTTTTAAAAACAATTCTGGAATGTTGCCTTTGTGGCAACTGTCATGTTATTGTAAAGCTTATTAAAATGTGCACAGGTGGGCAGCTGAGCAAGGAAAAAAGATAAAAAAGCAGCAAACAAGGTATTTATATCTCACCTAAGCATGCATGTCTTTTATATCCAATGATTGGAAAGAAATAAAAGGATAAGAGCAGAAACAAGTGACCAAATAGGCTGTATCTGCCTAAAACTGCCTAAAAACTCCTCCTGGGTTTAATGTGAAGGAATTGTACACTGGATTAGAAATGGTTGATGAAGATAAATTTACAGTCTTCTGGCCCAAAATCATAGTTACTGAATTGCTACTAAGATTCCTGACTAATATTTTTGCAGATGCCAAAAATGGGATGCATATTGAATACGCATTTCTGCTTTGCAATGCATTGAAGTGAATACATTTTGGATGTGCTTTTACATCAGCAAATAATCCAGCGAAACAAAAGTGTTTCCAAAGCAAATTTTATACTATATGATGATCACAAGCAATTTGAATTGCTATTCTAAAACATTCTTCCAATAATACAAATTAAACAATGCCTCACTGTGTTGGGAGACAACCAACTCTATTACAGGAACAGGTATTCAATATGCAACTTTTGCTAGTGGGGAATAGTAGATTCTAAGACTCATTGGGATGTGTTGAGTATTTCTCAACAGATAAATTTACCTAATATATATGCTACGAGTAGAACATAGTTGTTGTTTAGAGTTGCTAAAACCTATGCCATTGATAATTTTTGATTGGCTGTATTTTGTACTCTTTCTGGTGAATACCATATAATTCAGACATGTGCAACTAATTGCACTGAAGTCCCCATTCCATAGGGAATTGGAATAATTTGGACTTTAATTTGAGGCAGAGCAAATTGGTCTAAACATGGCTTTCATGAGGCTCAAGTTCCAATTTGTTGGTTTGGAATTCAAATGGCAGCATCAAAAACAGGAAAAATTTCCAAGAGAAAAGCAGAAAAAAAAAAGGGATAGATCTTGGATGGAAGGAAAAATTATAAGGCAAGAAGGGATTCTTAGTTGAACTCTTGACTCTACAATGTGATTTCAATATTTTCCAGTCTCTTGGCTTGAGCATTTCTAAACTTCATTAGCTAGCTGACCTGCCTAACAACTGATATTTAATGAAAAATGAATTCTCAGCCCTCCTCATATCTGAGAAGGGTATTCCCACATAAAAGTTTCTATTGCTGAAAATGTCAGCATATTCAGTCTCAAAATAACAGTCACAGGGATTTTTTAAAAATTAAAGAAATAAACTGGTGTAATCATTTTAATGAAATTTGACATGGTTCGTTTGCTCATGAAGCTACATAGTGATGACTTTCCCCATCCTATTCAACTGAAAAGCAAATAATTGCAGACTTTGGGGTTTTTTTCTATGCATTCCTAGAGCTCTGTTTTTTTTAATTATATTCCAAATGTGGACACCAAGTCATACTGGGCTACTCCAGAAGGAACCTAGAGTGAATCAGATGTTTAAATAGCTTTGATTCATATTCTCAAAATAGATAGATGATCTTTGCACATACTTATTATATTATATTCAAAATCCTGATCTTGATATAATTTGATAATTACATCATGTCATTATTAAACTACACAGAT